ATCCGCCATGCATGGCGGATGCGACTTCGTTCCACTGCATCGCCAATAGCCACGAAATGGACGCTGTCAGAATTTGGGTCTGAAATCACTTGGCGAAGGGTCGCCTAGGCTAGTATGACCTGCACAGCTTTTTGGACTATTTTGAAGATAAAGCGGCCTCTTACAATGTCGGTCGCTTTATCCGGCGCGAAGCTCGTGCGGTGGCAACCTTACGGCTCGAAGAGAAGACGCTTCGTGTCTGAATCCCACGAAGGCGGGAAAGCGCGTAAGAATTTGACTGTCTTTGCGGATACCGCTAAATACATAAAAAAACTTCAAACCCAAGGTTTCCTCAAAGGGAATGAGCCACAACCATGTTTTAGATATATGCACTTTCCTCAAAGTGAAACTAACTTTAGGATTAATGCTATTCTAAGAGGATTGAACGAGTGGTTCCGACACGCACAGAACAGACGCCGTATCATGTGGTATTTTCCCACTATTTTCCGTCACTCTCTGGCCAAAATGTACGCAGCAAAATTCAAACTTGGAACTAGAGCTCAAGTATTCAAGATCGAGGGAAGGGATCTGCGCAAACGTTTAAGTGCGAAACCAGACAAAACTCCGCTTGGAATCACTGACCAAACTGTAGAAGATTGGGAAAAATCAGTGAGTGGAAAAGGCACTCCCAGGCAACCGTCAGGTTGGAATGAATCAGTGAGTGGAAAAGGCACTCCCAGGCAACCGTCAGGTTGGAATAAATCAGCCCAGGCAACCGTCAGGTTGCAATTCTATATACTAAACCCCAAAGTACATGGTGAAGAGAAGGCCGCTACGGTTCCATTAGCCCGCCATCCGCCACACTCCGGGGAGCAGGCCGGGACAACAACCACAGCGCACGTGGCGGCGGCGATGTAATGGAACCAAGAGCTGTTTTCCGCAAGGAAAATCCACTTTTCGGCCTCGCCAAGTCTCGCCACTGTTTGCAGCGGATGGCGAGTAGTGGAACAAGGCCCTTGGCGAGACCGAAAAGTGCATTTTTCTGGCGGAAAACGGCTCTTGGTTCCATTACATCGCCGCCGCCATGTGCGCTGTGGTTGCTGTCCCGGCCTGCTCACCGGACTGTGGCGGGTGGCGAGCTAATGGAACCGTGGCGGCCTTCTCTTCACCATGTACTCGGACTGGAAATCACTCCAGGTGCAGCGAAAACTCGCCAACACTAGGGGACAACGCAGGTCTACTGTCAGGACCGCTGTGTCAGGGGCAATGGCCACACCAAGCATTTCGCGGAGGGGTGAGGAGTAGCGCCTTCCATGAAGGGCCATTGCAGGCAGGGGAAATGGAAAGCCTCGGCGACACATCGCCAAGTGATTTCAGACCCAAATTTTGACAACATCCATTTCGTGGCTATTGGTGATGCAGTGGAACCAAGTCGCATTCGCCATGCGTGGCAGATGGCGAGTAGTGGAACGAGGCCCTCATTGGCTACGATGGGCAAAGAAAGACGTGTTCTTTTTTTTTTTTTTTTTTTTTTTTTNTTTTTTTTTTTTTTTTTTTTTTTCATAAAGCCCAGGTTGTTGTAGAGGTGGGATACTAGACATATGACATCTTCCATATTGGGGGTCCATGGGACACACAGGGTGGCACATGGAAAACTGCTTGGCAAGTCAAAACGCAACAAGAACCATCATCATCATCATCATCATCATCATCAACTTCTCAATTCTTATTTCCCGGTTCTTTGCTATACTTGAGGTTGTAAAAGTCCTCCCCACAAAGTTGCTGACGTGAAGGGCAGGATGGATTGAGTGGGGAGAGCTCTTTTCCGCAGGGGAAACTTAAGGTGGGAAGTGTTTGCCCGTAGGGAGTAAGGGCGGACAGGGGGACTATTTAACTCTGGGGCTGGGAGAGATGGACGGCGGAACATCGTCTACTGGCGGTGGCGGAGTAGGACAGAGATAGCTTGAGGTAGGCTTATTGGGGGGACAACCTTCTTCGAGGGGAGTAGGGTAGAGGGAGGCTTTCCTATTGTTGGGGCAGTGAGGAACCACTCAACAACATAGTAGTTCTGATTAGCGGAGGCAGCAAGGGAGAGGAGGGGTGGTAAGAGGGGAAAGAGAAGGGCTGGAGAGGGGAGGGTCACTCAACATCAAGTATCTTCATCACCATCACCAATCACCAACATCAACATCAACATCATCATCATCATCGGATTGATATTGTGGAACTGATTGTGGATTTTGTTCAAACAAAGGTTCGGGCACAACGGGAGGTCCTCACAATCAAATTATACAAATGAAAAGAGAGAGAAAGAAGCCAATCCAACAATTTGAAAAAGACTCGCTGAAAAATTCTGCAAGAGGGGACATCGATGAGGTGAAGTGGCTAGGGGCGGATGGGGTTGAGGAACCTTTCAAAAAGGAGAGGACTTTCGACTCTTCTTTCGAGACTGGTTCACACTTCATCCAGTAGCTTCACTCAGATCTCCTGAATTTTTTGCAGATCCATTCCCTCCTTCCGAACTTGCTTTGATTGGTCTGCGATGGTTTCGATTAGAGGGAGAGTGAAGAAGTTTGAACCTAGAATGCGTGCACAGTAACAAAAGAGGGCTTGGGTGCTAGGTTTGATAAGCTAGTCGGACGGTCCTTAATGTGACTGAAGAAGTGCTCAGGTTTCAATCATGTTTCCTTCGAGTTATCAACAGTACCAGAAACATCATGAGGGACGTTGGGCCCGGTTCCCAGCATGTGTTGTTTCATGATTTCCTCGTTATTGTTCAGGGGACGCTGGACCCGTTTTCCAGCAGGTGCAGCTCCCCACCAATAAAATGGAGCCCCTTGCATGACAGGTAGCTGATTTCTTGGGTTACATTCTAATCTAGCTGATTTCCTAATCGAGCTCATGATCCTATATTAATCTAGCAGGTGCAGCGTTTTCCAGCGAGTGCATACTCTTATCATCACTCCTATATTAAAAAAAAAGATTGGTTGTTTGCTCATGATCCTACGATTATCAGATCCTAATTCTTGGGTTACATTCTAATCTAACTGATTTCCTAATTGAGCTTTCATTGTGTGTTCGCCCAGGTTGAGTGAAATCAGAATGACGGTGGCTAGGGCTGGGGCATCGCCCTCTGACCTTCATAGGAGCTTGAGGCCTTGGATAGAGATCTGGGGATTCTGGAACCGTTGTGTAGAACATGTGTTTAAGCACTATGCACAAAGCACACAGATAGGAGAGCGGTGAAAGTCGACCAGATCGTCAAACTAACTCCTCGACTATATATAGATTAATTCACTCGTTCACCAGCTCAACAGTTGTTAGTTTACAAATCGATCCCACGTACACATTCATCGCCTACACCTCATTCTTTCATCATGACATTAACACGATCACCCTTTTCCATCTGCAGGTTAGTCCACTAGTTCGATAAGCGCAACTATTACTAGTTCACATATCGATCACATATACATATTCATTATTTGTACCTCATACATTCATCCATGACATTAACGAGAGCACCCTTTCCAACATCCACAGTGACTCCACGCACTGTCCGACTCCGTACACAACCTCCACACCCGAAGACAGCCTTACACAGGACATAGGAAAAACTCGAAAAAAGTCTCTCTCGAAGCACTCAGTAGATATGTCGGTGAAACACACAGTTGATGGTCGAAGCAACGTCCTGCTCTCACATCCTGGCATTACCGTCCAATGCGTTTCTACTGCTGCCAGTTGCAACGTCATCAAGGGCTACTACTCGAAAGGGCTACTACTCAAAAGGTAAGATTCACCTACACCTCTGTTTTCTTAAATACTTCGTGTCTCCAACTATTGCCTCCATTCAAATCTGAAACAGCAACCCCATCATCAGCACACATTCAGAAATTCGAAATTCGACAGTCTCCCTACGTCATACACCAGCCAATTTGCAACCGCGCTCAGTTCATCGGTCGTCGATGGTACACACCGCCAATTGCGCACATTTCGCTGGTTAGTTCGAAATTTTGAAAACCGGTATTACCCCTGCATCGTTTACCTTCGTCAGCATCCACACTCGCTCCTTTCTGACGTCGATGGTAAACCCCGCTGACTGCGTTCTTTTTTTCCAAAACGTGGGCGACTCTATAACTGCCACTCTCTCCACGTCAGCGTACGAACCGGTACATGCCTGGTGCTCATGACCCTCGCCCGTGGGATTTAGACGCGAAGCGTCTGCTCTTCGCACCCCCTCTAGGTGGCTCCAACCTACCGTTTTTCCTATGCAACTTTTTCCTTTTCCACTGCACTACGTTGCGATCACCTGACCCAGGTTCGAATCCGCGTCCAGTATCTTCACACAATATCTGTAGCCCACTCTTCCCATGCCCCTTCCTTGTGGAATATAGAGTGAAAATAGTTGTAGTCTGGTATCAAAGTACTCTTCGGGGAAACCCCTCTTCTGAAGTTCCATTTTCAAGGTTAGAAGGGTGGGCCCGACCTCCGTCTTCTTCAATGCATGGTTCCAGATACGATGAAGGTAACCAGTAATGATTGCCTTCTTGGTCTGCACTGCAGAGTAGGACTTGAAGTTTTGTGAGCCCTGGAACACAGTGGTTCCCCCTTTTAACAATTCGGATCCGTTGGTCGTTAACACCATGCATGGTAAAACAGGGGGAACATTCCAATCCGCAGTTCGCACCCCAGAAAATGCCATGCCTTCATACCCCCGTTAGTTCTTTTCAACGTCATTCATTCGTTATAACACTGCTCAAACTTCTCCAAAATACCCATTGCCCTGTGCAAGCTCTCCCTTTTGTCAATATGGAAAGCAGTAAATATAGAGACGTCATCAACAAGTCTGCAACCCTGAAATAGGCACCTATCCGCACCCAAGGTTGAGAGGAAGGAGCATTCAAGCAAACAAGCCAGTGCAGGGCTACTGCTCTTGCCCATCGGAATCCCCTCCATCTACTGCAAAATCTTTCCAGATGCTATTACAAACGTATGTTCCAACTTGACAAAACGAATCAACGTACGAAAAGACATTGTTCTCCGTCCGACTTCACCAGCCTCTTTACCAAAAGTGACCCCTTTGCCTTCGCGCTTCACTCGCACGTGGTCGAATCCTTTGCTCTCATACACCTCGACCACCCACTCAACCGCTTGGATGATAGCCTCATGTGACAACTTCGAAAACATATCTTTAGTGTCGAAACTGGCGGCCAACAGTCCCTTCTTTGCAAAACCCGATGCCATGCTTTTGTTAATTGTTTGGATGTGGCCAGTGAATTGTTGTGTGCTCTTCGGGTTGAAGTTCGTGCTTCTTGGCAAATTCCACAACATGTGATTGACCGCTTTTCCCACAACCTTATCCATTCTTCCAGCCGACTCGTTGTACGAAGCACAAATTGATCTCCATCTTGATGTGTCTTTGTGCTCAAGGATGTAAGCATGTCCCAAACACCCCTTCTCATCCCATTTTATGACCTTGTCATACCCCTCCTCAATGTACGCTTGTCTGCATCTCCTCATAATCGTGACCTCGTCCTCAAGCTGCCTTGTGAAGGCCCTACTGTCCAAAAACATTTCTCGAATTGCCTTGGCATATGTTACTGGCAACATGCCATTGTGTCGCCCATGTTATGGTCCAACGACATGATTACCAATCCCTGCAACTGCCTGCGCACCATAAACACTTGGCCAATAGTCAGTCCCTTCGACGCTCCATTCCCAGCCTTGTAGCATGTCTACAGTTTCTTCCTCAGAAACGGTTCAAACTGCCCCATGCCCGAAGAACGCTTCCATAGCCCCATTCACTCGTTGAGTCAAGGCTCCACCATCACGCCTACTGGGTAACAATACGTTTCTCGAGTTCCTCAATACCTTCACCGCTTCAACCCCTTCAAAGAATTTGAATCGGATGTGTCCATCTGCACTTCTTGGTAGGCATAATTTACTACAAATGCACACCATTTTCTTGTCCTCTTGTGAACCTTCGATGATTACACAAGATTTTTCCCACCTCTTTGTGTCTGGTCCAAACAACCCGCATCCTTCTGCACACGAATTCAGCCATCTTTGCGCTCACACATGTTTGCCTGATCTTTTTCTTACAACTTTCTGACACACCCCATTTTCTCAACCTTTCTTCATACTCAACTCTCACAATTACACGGTTTCTGATATTGATTGTAAACCTCGACCTGATGGTTCTATTAACTACTCTTAAAATTGTCCGAGACCTTTTCTCTTCAATACCCCTAATTCCGTAATATAGTCCGATTAGCCGGTCCATTGTGAAACTGCCCTTATACAATATCTCTCAGTACGAAGGGATCCGAAGCAGAGCGATCATAAAATGTTGACCCCTATCATTCGTGCTTTCAACCACCTTTACCACAGTGAACTCCCTCTCACACGACGACTGTACTTTGACATATCTCAAGAGAAATGTCCTACCATTACATACGATCTCCGTCATACCAAAGCACCGTTTCACAACCGACCATCTCTCACACCACCGTGTTCTTTGTGAGACAGACAACTCGGTCCTTCTTTTAGACCGACCAATTGAACGTAACACTTTTGTAATTAAAAAACTCCTCTTTGTCCCACAACATATCTCTGCAGGGGCAATATCCTGGCCACCTGCACCTCTCCTACTGTTAGACTGTTTTTTCCTTCTCTCTGGTCTGTTTTTCTAATTCTCTGCTTCCTCCCTTCAGAGTTCAGAATAGGACGACTGCTCCTGATGTACAACTTCTCTAAGTTACTCGGTTCATCCTTGTCGTCGACAATTAAGGGCATGGCCACGTACTCCTTGCATTCCTTCTTTCACAACCATCTATAGACCTTGTGTTGCTTGCCCTCATTTTTGACATGATTGGGTTCTTTGCTTACCTGCTGTTCTGCTGTCAATGACAAGCGCAAACTGAGCATCATGTTCCTCTACCCGTTTTTGCTTCGCAAGTTCTAACTTCTCTTTCTCTTCTCTTTGTTGCTTTAACTCTTTATCCCTACGTTTCCTTTCCTTGTATTCCTTTCGTCTTTCTCGTTCCTCCTCCTCGTTGCACAAAATTCCCGCATAGTGAAAATAGCGTTCACGATTCACAGTGAAAAGTTCCTGTAATCGTAGCGATCATTGCCTTGCTGACGAGTAGCTTGGATCGCGCCTGGTCCCCTAATCGGTACAATCTGTCGATCCGCATTACTGGCCGAGGTAGATGCAACACTGTCCTTCCATTGATTTCATTCTTCGTTCTTGGTCTTCATGGTTTGATGCAACCGCGCAATAAGTGGTCAGGTTCCCCACAATTATAGCATTTTGGAACTTGGTTATCCCCCATCTTGAAATATGATGTAACCACCATCGACAAGTTTAATTCCCTGTTTGGTTATCACGCTCGTGTACACTGGCACCATCGTGTTGAACACCCCTTCAAGCACCGTGCACAGAGCGCACAGATAGGAAAGCGGTGAAGGTTGAGGAGATCGTCAAACGAATTCCTCGACTAGATATAGATTAGTTCACTCGTTCACCAGCTCAACGATTGTTAGCTCACAAAATGATCCCACATACACATCATCGCCTACACCTCATTCGTTCATCATGACATTAACACAAACACCATTTTCCGTCTATAGGTTAGTCCACTTGTTCAAATCGGCGCAACGATTGGGAGTTCACATATCGATCACAAAAACACATTCATTATCTGTACCTCATACATTTATCCATAACATTGACGCGAACACCCTTTCCAACATCCACAGTGACTCCACGCATTGTCCGACTTCGTACACAACCTCCACACCCGAAGACATCCTCACAGAGGACATAGGAAATACTCGAAAAAAGTCCCTCTCGAAGCACATAATAGACATGTTAGTGAAGCACAACAATCTGTTGCTCGAAGTAGCGTCCGACTCTCACATTTTGGCATTACCGCCCAATGTGTTTCTATTGCTGCCAGTTACAACGTCATCAGGGGCTACTACTCGAAAGGGCTACTACTTGAAAGGTAAGATTCACCTACCCCTTTGTTTTCTTAAAGACTTCGTGTCTCTAGCTATTGCCTCTAACTTCAACCCCCCCAACAATCGTTGAGCTGGTGAACGAGTGAACTAATCTATATTTAGTCGAGGAATTCGTTTGACGATCTCCTCGACCTTCACCGCTTTCCTATCTGTGCGCTCTGTGCACGGTGCTTGAAGGGGTGTTCAACACGATGGTCCCAACGTACACGAGCGTGATAACCAAACAGGGAATTAAACTTGTCGACGATGGTTGCATAATATTTCAAGATGGGGGATAACCAAGTTCCAAAATGCTATAATTGTGGGGAACCCGACCACTTATT